CCTGTTTCCTGCCTCCAGCTGGTGGCCAGGAGCCCTGCCTCGGCACAGGCTGGAGGAGAGGGGAGATGCCCAGGCTGGGCAGCAGCCCATTTCACTTGGGTGAACCCCCTCATGGTGACACTGAGATGCCCTATTGCACTCCTCAGCCTCATGGGGACGTGCTGAAAGGTGCTAGTTAAAAACAGCAGCAGCGGCTGCCACTCACCCTCCCTTGCACGGAGGCCCCTGCCACATGCACATTTTTCCATAGGAAACTGCTAAATCTCCCAGGTCAGAGATGCTGGGAAAGGGGGTGAAGCCTCAGCCTTTCTCTTGCTGCGGCAGACACTCACACGCGCTGTCTTCAGGACAGCCTGCGCTCCTGCAACGTTTCAGACTCACAGTGTGCAGCACAACAACAGGGTACAACAGTTTTGCCTATGGCAGGGACACCTGCACCCATCTACAGAGCCCTCCAGGAAGGGAATTATCAGGAAAGAAAGGGAGAGGAAGAGGCAGCATAACCCACAACGTGGACAGGATGGGGGCAGCTGAGGCAGTTTCGTTGGCATCCCTGGGGTACCTGGGTCTGCTCGTCGATCTCCTTGCGGATGCGGTCCCCCAGCACGATGAGCACCGACACGGCCGTCTGCACGTCCCCCTGCTCCGCGTAGAAGAGCAGCGTGTCCCGCACGATGGGGTTGAAGAAGTCGGAGGGCAGGCGGTTCTCGTAGAGCGAGTGAGAGATGGAGATGAGGGAGAAGGACTCCACAGGTGTCAGGGACACTGTCTCGGCCTCGTTGCCGCTGACGTGAGGGGAGTCAGCCTTGTCCTGCAAGTGGTCCAAGGCTGATGGGTTGTCCACAATCTCATGGCGCAGGGGGAAGGCTTCCTGGGGAAGGCTGTATTCCTGCTCTTCAGCTATACGGAAAAACATCCTTGTTTATCAGCACAACCTGTGCCACGGACAGGGAAAAACCATAAGAAAAATCCAGCATCACGGCTGGCACAGACAACACCCCTCAGCACGAGCAGTCCACGCACCGTGTGGGTTCTCGTGGTCCATCATGTAGAGGTCATCCTCGTCTCCTTCCACATCCCCCAGCAGATAGTCAGCAGGGACATCGCTGCCCTCTGTCTCCTCGTTGTCTGAGTGACAGAGAAAGGTGTCAGCGCATCCTCAGGGGTAACACAGCCCAACACATGGCCCTGTCACATAGCCCAGGGCACCAGGCTGTGTCTGAACCAGCCAGTATGTTCAGCTTGGTCACATCCCCAGCACCTGCTGTCACCACTGTGGTGGTCACAGGGATATACTGTCCTTCTGTGGCCACCACACTCAGTTTCACCAAGGCCAGACCCCTCTCACACCAAAGTCATTTGTGGCTGGGAATGCGTCATCAGGGACAGGCTGAGGAGGGGACAGCCACAGGACTGGGGTTTAGCACCAAGGGGTTCCCCAGCACATGGGCCTGGCCTGTGCCTGCCCCAGAAACCTTACCCTCGTTGTTGATCAGGGTGGAGGAGGAATCCATGAGGATATTTTCTGTGCGGCTCTCTCCTTTACTGCGATCCAGTCTTGACTCGCTGCCTAGCCCGGAGGGAATGTCTTTCAGATTGAAGCTGGGAAAGAAGCCACTTGCTTAATATAAGAGTCACAGAAATTTACAGCTTCCATTCTAGACAGCAAAGAGCTTGGATAGAGGTTTCCAATTGTTTTGAAAGCAGAAACACAAGACAGTTATTTTCCTGACAGCAAAAAGGTCAGCTCTCCCCACTCTGTAACTTAATATATGTATATGTACACCTATACACATACTGCAGTTGTTACCACTGTCATTTCTCCATGTCTGGCATCCCTCTGCACTCACCATAAAGGCACCTGCAAAGGTTTCCTTAGACAGCTTTGGAGCCAAGTACAGCCCCTTGAGACACTTGTTAATGCTCACATTCACCTTCAAAGTGGGTAAACAGGGATGAGGCAATCCCTTCAACAAGAAGGGTTGCTACTTGTTATGCAAGACTGCTCTCAAGCTCTACCGAGGTGGAAAGGAACCGATTGGAAATGCAGGTGAACTGCGCTCTCGAGTTTGCTGCCTGCAAGTTATTGTAGTATCGAATACGACCTGTCTGCGTGCAGAGAGGATGGAAGTGTTTCCTTTGATGCTATTCAAGTTTATGCCAGTCACCTGGGAACCAGGTCCTACAAGGTTTAAGAACTAATTTGGAATCCTCACACATCAGTTTTATGTCATTCAGAAGAGGAGAAACAAGTTTTCCTGCTTCATCAACCCACAATGAGGTTGTCGATGCCAACGAGCCACTTGTGAGGCTGAGCTCGCCCTCTGAAAGGCAGCAAGCCTGAGCCTCACTCTGTGACAGCATTAGCCCTGCGGCAGATCTGCCCTCAGATGCAATGAGATGAGGGCTCTCTAGCCCCAAACCATGGCCACAGACCCAGGGTACAACTCGCTGGCTGAATGCAACAGATCACAGCAGCCTCACATCCCATCGCAGCCAGCTTCAAACTTCTGGTCAAGGAGAAAAGGGAGCACACACACAAATCACCTGGCTGACCTCTCACAGCTGTGTGGAAAATGGTGGCATTCAAATGACACAAACCTGTGTGGCTACTGGGAGTATTGAGGCTTGGGGAGAGCCATCCTTGCTCCCATCCAGCCACTTCAGCCCGTCCAGAGACAAGGAGCTGTCTCTGCTCCGATTTCCCATTGCAGGAGCTACCCCTATGCAACAGCTCAGCTCGGCTCCGGGCGCCCCAGCGCAGCCCTTACCTGTTCATGAGTGGGAGGGTGGTGCTGCCTTTCCCAATGCTGTGATTGAGGTTAGTAGAGGACACGTTGCCAAGGCTGGAGTAGATGATTCGGAGCATCGTCCACGTTTGAGCCACCTATTCCAGAGGAAGAAGGGGTCAGGCCCTGCTGCCAGCTGTAAGCTGAGGAGCAGAACGGAGCCACCAGCCGAGCGCGGGGACCTGCTGAGGCTCTGCTCCCAAACCACGGAGCTAACCGAGTCTCTGGAAGTCAAACAGTCATTATCACAGTGCATGAGCCTGCAGGGAGCCAGGCTTCTTATTGAAATCTCTCTTTTTTTTTTTTTCCCCTCCTGATCAGGCTGTAAACACAGCTGCTCATCCCCCTCTATCCTGCCCATCCCATAGGCTTGGCAGCCTCTCAGGGGTGTCAACGCAACCACAGCGGTGCTTGCTGTAGGCACCAGTGGTAGAGGTCTGGTGTCAGAGCGGAGAGAAGCCTCCCAGGGACAGCGAGGGAAGGAGAGATGGATAGGAGAGACTAAGGCAGAATTGAGCTCTTGTCAAGCTGGGAGGTCTCCTCCTGACAGTGTCTGTCAACTCTGGGACCAGGCCAAACCAGTGGCAAGAGTCCCTCCAGGTGCAAAGGACTGAAAGTAGAAGAGAAACTGGGAAAATCCAGCTGCAGAAGGGGGTCAGACCAGGGGAGGACTGGAAGAGGCTGGCAGAAAAAACAGGATCTTGAGGAAAATAAGAAAAGACACACTCTACAGAATAAAGAACTCCCAGCCTGTGGGGGTGCCTGGGTGTCCAGGCAAACCCAGACCCTTTCCACGGATCTGCCCAGGACAGGGGCACAGCCACTTCCCACAGCTGCCTGGAGCAGGGCAAGGTCAGGCCACAGGCCTCAAAAGTGACAATTCCCAAGAGCAGGTCCCAGCTCGCAGCGTCCCTCTCCATGCGCTGGGCACAGCAGGCTGAGTAGGTCCCAGGCAAGGCACGGGCGGGAGCGAAGGGGCTCAGGGACCCGAGCAGTGTGACAGAGCCCTCCCCGCCCCGCGCTCACCTGGTTGCGGTCTAAGCCCTTGGCCACCTTGGCGTTGTGGTCACAGAGCTCGGCCAGGGGCCTGCCAGCCAGCGCGTACTGCTTGGCTGTGTGCACGAACCAGTCCATGCTGCCGCTCTCCATGTCTGTCTCGAAGACGCTGAGGGCGCTCGAGGAGGAGATGTACTCGAACTGCTCCGTGGGATCCAGCTTGCGCTTGAAGAAGATGGGGTGGCGCCGGTCCCCGATGTAGGGCTTGCGGTTGGAGTCAGCGGAGATGAGGCTCTCCTTGGCCGCGAAGGCCAGGTCTCCGTAGAGGCTGTAGCAGAGCCCCTCGGGGTTGGCGCGGTCGATGGGCTGGCTGGCGTCCTTGAAGATGTGCTGGTACAAAGTGCTGTCCTTGGAGCCCGAAAGGAGGAAATAGGGGTCGTGGAGGTGGCGCCACACGATGCCCGTGGTGACATCCTTGTGCTCCTCAAACATGGCAGAGGGGATGAAGGGCCGCCGCACGTCCCACACGTAGATGTTGTGGTCCACCATCATGGAGCAGGTGGCGATGTGGTGCTTGCACTCGGGGCGCCACTTCACCCGGGCCACGGAGGCGATGGTCTGCACGCAGTAGATCTCCTTGGCCCGCGTGGTGTTCATGTCCCACACCTTCACCATCTTATCTCGGCCGCCCGTTGCCAGCCAGCCCCTGCGAGCAGGACAGGGAGAGATGGTGAGACGCCAGCCTGGGCTGCCCGGCACGTGCCCGCCCTCCTCCCTGGGCCAGGCTCGCATCCCGGCTGTGAATGCACAGCAGGCTGCACTGCGTTCGCGTCCTCCCACACACTGCCCCAAATAACCAGGCCAGGGAACACCCTTCCTCCCCAACCCCGTTTCAGGCCCTGCATCTTCAGAACAACCCTTGACTGCAGCTCCCAGGCACATCCGTTCCCTCCACCCAAGTCTTTCTCTTGTTGCAGACAGTGGAGATAAAGGCCAGTCTGAATGCATCTGGGGGGCGTGTGAGGGGCGGCAGCCCTGCCGGGCAGGGAGCAAGCACGGAGCTGCAGGCGGAGCACGCCCCAACACGAGCAGTGAGGCAGCAGCTCGCTCACAACAGGCTGTGTCTACTTAACCAGTAGCATCCACTGCCACGGGAAACTCTGATTTGTCATAAAAAAAAAATCAGAGTAATAATTGCTCCTATCTAGTCTGCAAAGCCCCCAGTGCTAAGGCCAGAGTATCAGAGACCCTGTTTTCTCCTGAAACCCACTAACCCTGTTTTTAGGGCCTCACTTGCCAGTTTGCCTAGCGGCCGTCCCCACCAAAGCCAGCACGAACCTGTCCTCGGGGTGCCAGTCGCAGCAGAAGACGGGCCCGTTGTGGGCCGTGAACATCCTCTCGTAGCGGTCTGGCCGGCGGATGTCCCACAGCTGCACGTTCCCGTTCTCGAAGGTGGCAGCGAAGGTGAAGTAGTCGCGGATGCTGAACTGCACGTCGCGCACGCTCTCCGACTGGCCTGCGCAGGGACAGAAATTGAGGTCTGATGGGACAGAGCCCCAGCAAAGTCACCGCGCCAGGGCTTGTGTCCCCAGCAGCCCCATCCAGGTCCCAGCATCAGAGCTGCAAGACACGGGCCCAGAGAGGAGGAAGCTGGAACAGACACCAACTCCTCCTGCCTCCGCACGTGGACAAAATGACTCTCAGCTCCCTCCCTTCCCGCTCCAGACATTGTGCCCAAAGCAGCTCTCCTCCCGGAGGCAGGAAGGACGCAAAGATCCCAATCTCAGCAGGGTGGAGGGTGCAGAGCAGGGTTCTTACCAGAGAAGGTGCTGACAGAGTCCTTCTTGCGGAGATCAAAGCACTTCATGTAGCCATCCTGGGAGCCGCTGAGCAGCATGTACACCTCGGTGGGGTGGAAGCAGACCTTGTTGACAGTGCGCTTGTGCTCCGTGAAGAGCTGGTCCTGCTTGTTGCGGGACGGCTTGCCCAGGTTCCAGGTGACAACCACGCCGTTGGTGGCCGCCGTGGCCAGCAGGTTCTCATCCATCTGGTGCCATACCACGTCCGCGCAGCTGAAGTTCAAGGAGGGCTTGCGGCCGACACGGAGGTTCAGCTTCTCCACAAACTGGTCCTCCTCGATGGAGTAAATTTTGAAGATGTTCCGGCCGGCCACCACCACCTGGGCAGCATCGCGGCACACGCTGATGGCATTGGCAGGGGCGTCGAGGTGGCAGAACATGGTCCGGCCCGTGATGGTGTTGCCCCCGAGGGCGGTGGTGACCCTGGCCATCTTCTCCATGGCCGTCCTGGGCACGGACTCCGCTCTCCAGGGCCGGGCTCGGAGGCTCCCGTCTCCGCAGGCCGCATTCAGGCCCGCGCGGCCGCCCTGCTCCGCCTCAGCCGGAGCCGGCGGGGGGGGCGCCCGGCTCCCCC